TTTGATCCACCCTAACAAAAATATTAATGGACAAAAATATTAATATGTATTATTTTGGCCCACCCTAAAAAAAATTTCTGGATCCATCACTGCTAATAGGGGCGGCCACTGAAGCTTATATCCAAACAATAGTTTTAGGGTTTTGAATGATTAATTGAGATACGCGTAACCTACTTCGAACACCTTCTATCATTAAAAAAAATAATAATAAAAAAAAAAAGTTGACTTACGTGCTGTTAATAGAATGCCAAATCATTTTGACATGTCTACAGATGCGTAAACTTGAGGCGTAGCTGCATATGCCTGCATTTCTCTGTTACAATTTGCTATAAATCATTGTCTACTAAAACTCTAATATTTTTTATGGTCGCCAAAAGATGATCACACACGCCAATATATTTGTGGAACTTTAATATTAGAAATAATAACGTCAATTTATTGCTTCATAATGTAATTTATATAGCACTCTCAAAGTTGAATTATACAAAGCAACTANCGCATAATCTACTTTGAACACCTTCTATCATTAAAAAAAATAATAATAAAAAAAGTTGACTTACGTGCTGTTAATAGAATGCCAAATCATTTTGACATGTCTATAGATGCGTAAACTTGAGGCGTAGCTGCATATGCCTGCATTTCTCTGTTACAATTTGCTATAAATCATTGTCTACTAAAACTTTAATATTTTTTATGGTCGCCAAAAAAGATGATCACACACGCCATTATATTTGTGGAACTTTAATATTAGAAATAACAACGTCAATTTATTGCTTCATAATGTAATTTATATAGCACTCTCAAAGTTGAATTATACAAAGCAATTAATATCGTCACATTAATACATATCATTTATTAATTACTATAAACCAAGTGTTTGGATTAATTAATCATGCATTTTAAATTTTAAGTTCTGTGAGTGGTCAACAAGTTTATTAGCAGCCTTAGAATCGTACTGCAGTGAGCTCCAAACCCAACTTGTAATAACTAATAAGATCCATTCAATCCTTATCCATATTGTTGGCAAACTAAGATTATGCCAAAAGTTGACATAATCTTAATCAGTCGTCCAAATCATGAAAAAAAAAAAAAGTTATTCTGATTCTGGGAAATAACTATATTGTTTTAAAAACTTAAGTACATTTATATGATGGGTGATTCATTTGGCTGCTTTCATAAAAGTCCAAATTAGGAAGTTTATAACTTTGACGTAGAACGTGGCGGATGAATTCATAGAGCGGGTTGAACGTCAAAAGTCTATGCATAAAGTCCAAAGGGCTTAAATGAGCATACCTCATTTAAACGGTCATAACTTTTTATTTGAAAAAAGTTACGGGACTTGTAAAATACCGTTGGAAAGCTTATTTCGAGTCCGTCGACGTGGCAACCTGCTCTAGCCAGTTGGAGGTCACTTTTGAGGTCAAAATCCACATTTTTGGTGTGTTTTGGGGCTGTTTTAATTATTTGCGAGTTTTTTCCTATTTTATTTAGGATTTTCTTATTTTAATTGATTTAGTTTTTTATTCTTTTTGTTATTAGGAGTCTTATTAGGGTTGGTTGTCACCCTATATAAACTTATTTTTCATTTTGGAGATGATTCAATGAATTATATATTCAGATTTAATTTTCTTCAGATTTCACAGTTTAAGTTTCTTGGATTGAGACTTATTTATTAGTTCTAAAGGTGTAGTCGAGTGCTACCCTTGTTTATTCAGGCTAACTTGCTGCGTCAAACTTTTATCATATTCATGGAATGGCTATTGGCTACATGATTCGTCTTTTGAAAAGAGTAATATATTCATCTTTTGAAAAGAGTAATATATGCTTAGAAACAAGAATTATTTACCAGATTAAACGCCCTTTTTTTCCTTCTCAAAAATTATACTTTTGAAAGTAAATAACCTTTTTGTTTTTGGTCTAAGAATTACAGTATAAATTGATTATTAATTTTTATCTTGAATACATGGGCGACATATGGTATTAATTCATTTCATGACAAGACCTAAACTACATGTCTTGATGAATTTTATGATCTTCTTTTCAAACTCTCAGGAAGATTTTGATTCCAAACACGTCATGAGAATCCAAATCTTACCCATTTAAAGTTAATTCGAGCATAAACCCTAGAAACCAAGCATTAGATAACCATAAAGCATTTGTTAAAAACAGGACATATGGTATCAATACTTAGTTACACATCACATATATACATCAATATCAAACTTTTTATTTTATTTTTTCGTTTTCTATTCCTTCCCAACTAGATCTCCAGAAGATTGTGGTGCCTGACACGTTCGGAAGAATCCGAATCCGTTACTATGGCCAAATCAAACTATCGGAGTAGATGATCATCATATCACACATGAAAGATGCAAAGTAAGGCATATACTCACTGAAAATCCTAGGTGTGTCTTTGATTTAATGTTGTACATGAGTGACTCCCACATATAAAATAATAAAGTATGATAATTTCAACAGTATTTATACAAGTATATGCCCTAAACCGGATTATTAACCTGAGGATAATAAAGGGATGGAAGAAATGGATTCTAAATACATTATGAAGGAGGGCAGATGAGAATTTTATTTCTAAAGTGTAGGATATTCTCGTTTGATAGACAAATCCATTTAGTTTTAGTGCCATTACATGGAACCATAATCCAAGAATCATATGCTTAGAACCTTTTTCAATACTTTTGAATTTTGAACCTAACATATATAATCAATACTTCCAGAGTATACTATCACTTTTTTTAATTTACGAAATTAATTACTGTATATTATATTATTAAGGCAGGTGTGGAATTGAAGAATGGTATCTCATTCTTCAATTCTTGAAAGCATTTATTCAGGCGCGGGATATTGAATTCAAAAGCTCTCATTCCAATTCAAGTTTATAGGTAAATTCAAGAATGGATGGCTGAAGCCATCTGAGATATCTCTATTACTTGTCAACTGAATCTTAGTACAATCTTGATAGAAATTGTTTTAGAAGGCTGTCACACATTTCCTGGAAATCGAAAATGGAAAATTTCAACGAAAGAAAAAGAAGGACCCGATTCTCCTACGTACCAAAGCAAGTAACACATAATTAATTGAATATATGCATGCATATAAGAACATTGAAATGAACAACGGATAGATTCAAAGAAGATTTTAACGTAAGATGAGGGATGATGTAATAAAAAAATAAGAAAATAAAATTGTGTAAATTAATGGATTGAGGTAGGCATATGAGTGAACTGGTATTGTATACAACAATAACATAGAAAATGAAATGATAATGTTATTAATGAGTAAGGGAAAGGTGGGTAGCTTACAATGGCGCACCGAGAATTGCAATCCTAATCACACCATCATTTTCATGGCTCCTAATTGGTCCAATAAATCAAAGTCCCTGGATTTGGTGGGTACCCTTTTCTTTTCTTTTCTCTCTTTTTAACTGATATTCTACGTGGAATTAATTTTAAATATTCTTTATTTTTTTCTTATACATAATTTAAACCACCATTAGTTTACATGTTTAATTAATCTTCTTCTTTTTTTTCTCTAATTCAAAACCACAACAGGTAATGCAAATAAATGAATCTGAAGTAGAAATTATTAAAATTAATAAAGATGAAATAATATTGCAAATTGCAAAGACAGAAAAAGAGGAAGAAAGAGAGCGTATCTTTGAGTCAGCCACCTTATTATAAGGCACGCACGCTGTCAGTTTTCCACAATTATAATGTTGGTGTTGCGATCCATGTCTATGAAGAAAACACTTTTTACATAGTAGAAATAAAAGAAAGAACCACATTCATTTTTATTTTTTATTTTCTTTTAAAATAAATTGATCTGTAGCTTTTAATTCAATTGTTTGGTGGGAGTTCTCATCCTGACAAGTTGAAGCTGAGGGTGGGACTGGAACAACAACAAGAGAATAATAGAACATGGAACCTTCTCCCTACAACTACTATAATTTCTGCCTATGTTATATATTATTATGGCATTAGTTCTTATCCCGAGCGCATTATTTCATCTACATATAAGTTTATTTCAGATAATATCCTTAGGTATATAGGAGGATATATTGTGCTTTGTGTATGGGAATATATGATTTTTAGCTACGTTATCTACAGGAATAGTACTCCCAGAAAGGTCATGAATACCGCGTACAAAAAAATATATTCTAGTATTGCATTATTCTAGTTTAACACGTAAAATCAAACTACCTCAAAACTTTTCCTTAATCGTTTATCATTAACATGCTAATATATGAAATTATGGGTGCTTATCATATATAATCTCTCCTATTTTATACATCATATAAAATCTCTCTTATATATTTTATATTATAAATTAATCTTTGTTAATGAAAGTGGTGATGGGAAATAATTGAAACCTTTATTATCACCAATTTAGTGGAAATCTGGGTGGTCTAATTAGATTTCGCCTTCGTGTGTTGTTCTTCAAGTAGCCAATGAGTTTCAATTTCATAAATGGGCAGCTCTTGACTTATACTAATTGGACAACTCACTGATTATCTATATTGCCCTCTATATCACGCATTTAACATGCAAACTTGATCAGGTTTTTATAGTAATTTAAAGAGAAAAAACTTTTTAATCTCTCCTAAATGACAAACTAGCCTTGCTTTTTTCATAAAATGTATATAATTTTAATTATTTTTACACAAGAAATGAAGGTCCCACAACCATCCACTTTAAATTCTCAACCTTTTGAAAAATGTTGATGATAACTGTATGTTGGCATCCGGTAGCGGTTTGGTCATTCTCCGGCGAACCTGGCCATTTAATAACGCATCAAGTGGAAGAAAGCATACGATATATAGTATAAGTGCCAAGGATATTTTAGAATGTGCTGTCAAGCAGCACATCAATCATATTCCTTCTCAGCCCCATAAATAAATGTGGTTCATTGGGGATTAAATTGAACACACTCACAACTCTTACTTCTTCATCTCTCTCAACCCCTTATTGCTAGCTCTTCACTGATTTTCTCTTAAAAAAGAAGAGAGAATTATGAAGTTCTCTAAGCAATTTGAAGGCCAGCTTGTTCCTGAATGGAAAGATGCCTTTGTTGATTACTGGCAACTCAAGAGAGACCTCAAGAACTATCATCTCCTTAATAATATTAATGATCATAATACTACCACTTCATCCACCTCCACCAAGAACCAACATCATAGCTCTTTAGCCAACACCTTAGTTTCCTCTATTGGAAAGTTCTCTTTTTTTGGCCACCATCAACATAGAGAACATGGTGCCATTCAAGTATATATTCTCTCTTGCATTATGCTTTTCGTGATAATAATAATTTTAATTGGTATCTTCATGAATTGAAGAGGTTTGGTTGTTTGTTTTTCAATAGGTTCATAAGAAACTTGCAAGTTCAGCAAGCAAGAATGATACGTATGAGACGGAATTGCTCGATCAATTTGCTGATACTGATGCCGCCAAAGAGTTCTTTGTATGTTTGGATATGCAACTCAACAAAGTGAACCAGTTCTACAAGAATAAGGAGAAAGAGTTCTTGGACAGAGGTGAGTCCTTGAAGAAACAGATGGAGATTCTCATTGAACTCAAAACCGCACTCAAGCAGCAGCGCGGCAAAGGAGCTTCTTCCCAGGACTCCAAGGAGGATCCTTCTATTTCTTGCACCGTCTCTTCATGTGGTATGCAAATGCGATCATTATGAAAAACAAGATTCAATTTTGACTCTCACTTTTCATACCCTGTTTAATGAAATTATCACATCATTTATCTCCATATAAGATACCACATTTTCTTTACACTTGCATTAGTCAACATATACACATGCCCATCAACACGTACATGTAAATTTCAGTTTAACTATTACATGAATTAGTCATAGATGGATTAATTATTCAATGTAAAAAATAATGGGAATTTTTTTTCTTAATTGACTACAGATGAGGAGTCCATTAAGGACAGAACAGAGCAAGAACAACAACAAGATCAGCAGCAAGACAGCAGCATCGATGACATGGAAAAAAAACTACAACCCAACCGTCTCAGTGGTTCTAGCCTACTTTAACCTTTTAGTTACTCTTACTTTTCTCTCCTATTGTTTGACAAAACACTGTCAAGTCGTTCTTTCAATTGCCAGGGGAAGAACTTAAGAATAAATATTCCTCTAACAACGCCATCTCGCACCTTCTCAGCAATCAGTTACTTGGTTTGGGGAGATTTAGTTAGCCAGTCCAAAAAAATTCCTGAAGGAAGTAGGCTGCACATCAACAAAACAAAGATCCATCATGCAGAGAAGATGATAAGAGGAGCTCTCATTGAGCTCTACAAAGGTTTGGGTTATCTCAAGACCTACAGGAACTTGAACATGCTTGCTTTTATAAAGATTCTGAAGAAGTTTGACAAAGTAAGAAAATTGTATGTTCTTATAAATATTTCATTTTGGTTTATGTATGTAAATTAAAACTGATTTATTTATTTTTCTGGTTTTTTTTTTTCAGGTTACTGGAAAACAAGTTCTTCCCATTTATCTAAAAGTAGTAGAGAGCTCCTATTTCGATAGCTCAGACAAGGTAAATAAAAGAAGCTGTAAAATGAATACACTATCTAGTGCTCACTGGCATAACATGTTAGATGAAAATATATGGGAGGATTATTTAGATGTTTGCCACTAGCTATCCTTTTCATCAGGTTACAAACCGACAATTTAAAGTGGCCATTGATCCTGTACTTTTGTCTGCACAAAGCATGCCTCATATTCATGTAAATCGTACTTAAGATTTTTTTGTCTGATGCATAGCTATATTGGAGCACCACTTTGTAAAGAAAGTTGAATTAGCTTATTAATTAGTCTCAGCAATGACAGGTTATGAATTTAGCTGATGAAGTTGAGGAGTTATTCATCAAGCACTTCGCTGAAGATGACCGTAGAAAGGCCATGAAATATCTTAGGCCGCATCACCGTAAAGAATCACACTCTGTTACCTTCTTCATTGGTAAGTTCCTTGCAAATTTCTCTGGAAAACGATTAGGACAAAAGATCCATGATATGTGATGTTTTCAATTGAACTATATGTTTTAAACATTCGTTTTAATGGAGAGGTTTGAGGTTTGAGATTTTTCTCTTTGTGGCAATAATATTAGCTTTAAGAAAACAAAAAGTATGGACCCATTAGGCCACTAGCCTTAGCCTATAAAATGAAGGATAGCTCTTGGTTCTCTTTTTTGGGTGGATGATAAAGCACAGGTCCCATATTTGTCTTAGGCAATTAGACCGTACAAGGATGCTGAACCTTGAAAGGAAATCCATTAACACCACTACTTTGTTCCAATTGCACCAAGCTAAGTGAATGGCTATGGTGCTATGGTCCATCATAAAGTGAGCAAATTATTTGTATTGTTATGTTACACATTCTTTAATGCTTTTCAATCTTCATTTGACGAATTAGCAAGACTGCAATGAATAATTAGTATTGGGTTAATATTAACTTGTTTTCTTCACATTGAATCAGGACTTTTCAGTGGATGCTTCATTGCTCTCCTTGTTGGATATGTAATTATGGCTCACATAACAGGAATGTACAGACCGCAACCGGATACAATCTATATGGAAACTGTATACCCTGTACTTAGGCAAGTAACCCTCAGTTTGAATGCCTTGGCACCAGCTTTAATTTAAACATCATTATTGAAATTTTTTTATTTGATTTGTTAAAGATAGCTGACAGAACCAACTTTCTATATTTGCAGTATGTTCACCCTGTTGTTTCTACACTTCTTTCTGTATGGTTGCAACATTTTTATGTGGAGGAAAACCCGTATAAATTATAGCTTCATCTTTGAGCTGGCCCCTACCAAGGAGCTTAAGTACAGAGATGTGTTCTTGATATGTACCACCTCAATGACTGCTGTAGTGGGTGTTTTGTTTATTCATTTGTCACTTGTCACTAAAGGGTATTCATATACCCAAGTTGAAGCAATTCCTGGCCTTCTGCCACTGGTAATTCTTTAAGCATATCATTAATCAGATACAAAAATTAAACGAACCATAATACTTTTGAAATATTGGATTTTTTTGGTTTAAAAATTTTAACACTCATCCATATGTGCAGATCTTCTTACTGTTACTTGTGTGCCCCTTCAACATTTTCTACCGATCAAGCCGCTATCGTTTCATTTGTGTGATAAGGAACATCATACTATCACCTCTCTATAAGGTACTGCCTTTACAATTTTAGTACAAAAAGTTGGTTTCAGTTCTGATACTGTTACTGTAAGACACTGTGAAGGCCAAAATCATCTTACTCTCTAATTAATATTTAATTATCTCAACAGGTTCTCATGCTGGACTTCTTCATGGCTGATCAACTCTGTAGTCAGGTAGGCTTATGATCTAATTAACTGCAATTTGTTGTTAAATGACAGAAAAATTTATAGCTTATCATCAATAGTTCACTGATTAAAATTCTTTTGATATTTTATAGGTGCCAATGCTTAGGAACTTAGAATATGTGGCCTGCTACTATATAACTGGTAGCTACAAAACTCAGGACTATGGTTATTGCATGAGAGCTAAGCATTACAGGGATTTTGCTTATGCAGTATCCTTTCTACCCTATTACTGGAGGGCTATGCAGGTATTATTTGCTTATTGAGTCAATATTTTAGATGATTATATCTCAAATTGTTTGCTTAATTTGATAAAGATTAATTTTTCTGAATCTGGTGTGTAGTGTGCTCGGCGCTGGTTTGATGAAGGGCAAACTAGACACCTTGTGAATCTAGGCAAATATGTATCAGCAATGTTAGCAGCAGGAGACAAAGTAGCTTATGAGAAAGAAAGAACTGCTGGATGGCTGTGTCTTGTTGTCATCGTGTCAAGTGCTGCAACGGTGTACCAATTGTATTGGGACTTTGTAAAGGATTGGGGGTTGCTTCAAATGAATTCCAAGAACCCCTGGCTAAGGAATGAATTAATGCTTCGTCGAAAGATCATTTACTACTTTTCCATGGTATATAGTTGATTATACCTACTCTTTGAGCCATTGTGTTTAACATTGAGCCATTGGCTTGCTAGTGCTACTGACACCTAATGGGATCTATTGGAAAAAGTTGATGACCAGTTATATCTAACTCCAGGAAATGAGCACCAACCAAATGTTTCTGACTGAGAAATCAAAGATATATCTAGATAAGAAGATTGAAGAATGGTGAACGTATTAGATACTAAAAATGCTATTCTACAAAGTGAAAGTTAGATTCCTAGTCTAATTTATAGAAGACAAGATGAGAAGAAAGAATTATATATTTGTCTGAATAAGTATACATTACGTACACATTCAATTTCCCTTTTGTCTAGAAATTCAGATATTTTATCTAAGCTGATCTTAATCAAAATGTTGATACCATGCAGGGATTGAACCTTATTCTCAGGTTGGCTTGGCTACAAACAGTTCTCCATTCAAATATTGGACATGTTGATTACAGAGTAACTGGCTTATTTTTAGCAGCCCTTGAAGTCATCAGAAGAGGACTGTGGAACTTTTACAGGTACAATTTGGCCTATCTAAATACTTTCTTGTACTATCTGCACAACAATTATGCTCAACCACATTCGCACTTGGATATTTCCATATCACATTCCTTTCAGTATTTATAATAACTATTGCTTTAATTATCCAGATTGGAGAATGAGCATCTTAATAATGCTGGCAAGTTTAGAGCAGTAAAGACAGTGCCACTTCCATTTGAAGAGGATGAGGAAGATTGATGCCCCATTGGCAACAGTTGCTTACCAAATTCGATTCGAAGGGAATCCCAGATGTTTTGCGATCAAGTCGTTCCAAGAAGAACCTTGTACAAGTTGATGCCACAAGCCCACAACTAACCAGACATCAACTTGATTTTTATTGTTCCTTGGATATTGGGGAAAAAAAAAAAGTGGTTCATACTTGTATACCAAATTTTCTTCAACAAATAAATAGAAATTGATGCAAATGCGTGCAGTTGCGTTAATATCTAGTTAACGCCTTGATCCAGATAGTTTTGTTGCATGCTATTATACTTGTTTAGTTGTTTTCATCCAAATTCTTGGACGTATGAAAATGACAGTCAAGATTGATGACTTAAACCAGAGGAATATGAATCCCATCTTGCGTAGCTAAACATGCTTGATAAAGTACTGCTTTAAGGGGAACATTTCCAACAAGCCAGAGAGTTTATATTCATCCAATTGTTTTTGTGCTTCTTTTGGCCACTTCTGCTAGATTTTATAAAAATAACTCTACAATAAGATTTTCTCAAAGGAAAGAATAGTGAAATCCTTTTTCTGCAAAACTTGTGGTTGAAGTAATTATTAGAATAATATGGAAACAAATACAGAATTCTTTAGGTTTCATACACATTAGTTACCACTTAATCAAACCTCTAAAAAACAACAATGGGCAAACAATTCATAACAGAGTTTCCCTGCATTTTTAGCTGCACCAGCGGCAAGGCTGCAATGGGTTGGATGTGTTATGGCCAGAAAGATATCAAATAATGAGAGTTTGCTTTCCAGGAGTCTTCCAACCACAAAGAATCTAGCAATTGAAATGTATACTATTGGCCCCCTACAATTTTTTCTTGGTTGACCTCGATTACTATTTTCTTCGTATTTGTATTTTTATCCTTTATGAAAATTACTCGATAAGGTTCAAAAAATATTTTATACCCAATCCATCTAGAATAATTTTTTTGCTATTAATGTAAATTTTCTATTTACTTTTCTACACCATCAAACTCTAATTTTATTATGAACTAATCAAAATGAAATGAGTTTGGTCAATAACATATATGCATTAAATTCTTTAGGTTTATTTTATCATATTTTATTATTTTTCATTTTTATTTATTTTATCATGCAGAGTTAATCTGGCTGTTGACGGCTTAATGACGATCAAGGTATAGTCGTCGTCAATTCAAAAGATCGATATTTTTCGGCCAATCTACGATGGATCTGATCGAAAAAAACTAGATTGACGCACTATCGACTATGTCCAGTCGGTAGTATGTCATTACGGTAGATTTTGACCATCTTACGATAATGGTAGCGAAATCTAATAGTATGATGAAGAAGTGTTTTTTAATTTATAAATTTTATGTTAAGGTGTTTAGTTAAATTATAAATCTAAAAGATTAAAATAATCTGTTAATAATATTTATTTTGAATAGAATTTTGAGTAGGAAAAGGATAGTGGAATTATTATGATGTCAAGCAATATTTGGTTACTAAAAGGAGAATCGTGAAAGTGACACTTTTCATAGAAGTAATGGAAAAGAAGGAGAAAAGTGTTTATGATCTTACCTTTACTTTATCATTAAGAGTTTATCAAATTTTAAATTAAAAGTTTACTATTTTTGTAATATAATGTCGTAACATTTATATAATTTTATCTTCGCAGTTTTCCCATCGTATACTTAAAAATAAAGATTGTATCAATAACCGAAGCTCAGACCGCTGTATCGAAGTTTGCCTCGCAACAAATACAACCTCCGTAATGGCTGCAACAACTGCTCAGTGTTCACTGCGGCATATCTCTCCTCATCTCTAACAATTAAACCTAACAACCCGTCAATTCCCTTCTCGGCCCAATTCTTTTAAACCAATTTGTTTCTCCAACAACAAGCCTACTCTTACGGTAAGCTTTATAACAAGCCTTAAATCCTAAAACCTATCTGGGTTTTTCTTAATTCTTATTTTTAAGTTCTGAGTTTACTCCTTATTTTTTTTATTTATTTTTTAGTTTTAAGAGGAAAAACTGCCGACACCGTATTTCAAGTCTTTTTCTTTTGATATGTAGGTTGAGAATTTCTAGGGTGAAAAGATTGTTACGAGAGTGCCAGTACAGAGTATTGGCAGTTTCTGAGTTAAACCCAGAAGCAGAATTGGGTGATTCGAACAAGGTATGTGAAATTGGTTTTATGAATTTAGCCTAGTTATGATAATTTAATTTTTCTTTTGTATCGATATTCTTTTGGTTTTTGTTAAGTTTACTGAAAATGATACCTCAGGCTTGAGCTTTTATTCTCTATCATATGACAAAATTAATGGCCTTTAATTGGTGTTTGGAAATACTGGGATTTTGCAGTCTTCATTAATTAAATATTTTTATGTGTATTCTTTAGGTAGCGTATTATTCCATGTAATTTTTATATGTGTATTATTTAGGTAGGCTAGTGCTCCTTGATATAGTAGCTTAATTTTGAAAAAGATGGTGTTTGGAATTCAGAGATTATTTTATATTTATAGAAGTCTAATATGTTGATGTGAAATCGTTTATGAGCCAAAATTTATTGCATAAGTTCAGGGAGAAATGATCCATGTTTAGAGAGTCTAATATAAACTAATGTGTGAGCCATCACCTACAACTTGGAGTAAGCCAAAAAGTACTATTATCACATGTATAGGATGGTGATTTCCTGAATATGTGTTGTTACCAATTGCAATGTGCTAATTATGGTATTCATATGATATCATTCCCAGGTCACCTGATTAGATAACGCACAGTATAGTATGTATTTTCTTAGCAAATAATGATAATCTTTTCTCTTACTTGTTTTTGTTTCCCACATGTCAATGATGCAGGATGCCACTATTGACATAAAACTGCCTAGAAGAAGTCTGCTTGTACAATTTACTTGTAATGAATGTGGTGAAAGGACACAGAGGCTCATAAATCGCTTGGCTTATGAACGGGGGCTTGTTTTTGTACAGGTATTTGTACATTATTCTGGACTGCAGTTGCCTATTACGAAAAAATTCTCATATTATGTTTTTGAAAAGCTGTTTAATACTCAATTCTGTTGAGTTTTTAAAAAAATTCTCTCTTTTTCTTTTTCCATTAGCAGTCATTATGAATTTATTGTTTTTTCTTCCTAGTTTGACATGTTTTATAAGCACCTTTCCTTAATTTTGTATTAGCAAATTTCTATTATTGTCATTTGAATACCTTAAACCAGCTCTGGATTATGTAAAACTTCATGATAATTTTAGGTTTTCTTTTTCTTGTTTGCATAATCTTCCTTTGGTACATAAACTGAGTTACCTTCCTATTTCTGGTCATCATTAAGGTTGTAATATATTCTAGTAAGTTAATTTGGTAATCAAATGGATAATTTATGTCACTGGGTAGGACTCCAACAAGTTATTCTCAACCAAATCACTGAATTTGGAGTAAAAAAAATTTAAAGCATGTAGTCAAGATATAATTGTTGGAATGTCGTTAGTTGTTTAGCTGGGTGCAGATGAAATGACTGTGTTGCCATACAGTTAACTTTATATACATCAATTTATGTGTGATTGTGTGTTACTATGTGTATGGACCTCTGAGATTAATTTCAGAGTCTGCTTGTTTATAGTGTTCGATTATTCATTTGATCTTTAAGATAGCTTGTTGGTTAAGTATATAGTTGGAAGGGGGCTCTAATTGTTTCTGTGCTGAAAATTGTTTCTTGTTCTCTTAGTTCAATAAAAAGTTTTTCTCCATCTGACCAACAGAAAATGCTTCTTGTCAGTGTGCTGGGTGTCTGAAGCATCACAAGTTAGTTGATAACCTTGGTCTGGTGATTGAGTATGACTTGCGGGAAGAAATCAGCATGGAATCAAATACAGATGAAGTTTGATAACTGATGACGAAATCATTTTTTGTATAGTTTGGTTGTGATATTTTTTAAAATTCATGTTCATCTAATATTCTCTTTTTCCTGTCAAAAGATAAAATAAAGTATTCTTATAAATGAAATGGAAAAAAATACAAAAATGTCAACAGTTTGCTGTTCCTTCATCTGTTGCTTTATTTGTTCCTACTTCTATAAATTTCTTAAATGATTGTACATATGAAAACAGTCATCACATGCAAGAATAGCATTTTTTTTCTAAAAGATTGCTAGAAATTGTATCCTGTGATAGCCAGCAGGATGGCAATTGCTAATCCTGTACTTGTCCACACTCCAGATTTTCCTCCTTGCTGGTGCTGTGCATGTGCTCCATTCTGTGAGCCAGAAAAAGAGGGAAGGATTGTTAAGAACAATTTGATGTTGACAATTTAAATAACTGAAATTTAAATTCTCAATTTATGTCAAATCCTGTGTGACCTGCACTTGAGAGGAAAATTTATATTATTGGTTAAGCGTATTACCAAATTCAGGGAAGGTGATGGTGCTGGTGTTGTTGTGTCCTCTGAGTCTGGTACTGTAGGTGGTGCAGGGGGGCTTTTTAGAACAGTTGGTGCTGGAGCTGGTGCATGATGATGATGCTTGTGCTTGTGCTTCCTCCTTTTGTGGTGGTGTGGAGCAGGTGCAGGGGTTGGTGGTTGGGTAATTGGTGCTGGTGCTGGTGTTGGTGGTGGCTTCGCAGGTGCAGGTGCTGGTGTTTCCTTTGCTGGTGCTGGTGCTGGTGTCTTTTTTGCAGGTGATGGTGCTGTTGGTGCTTGGACTGGAGTCGGTGATACCTGTGGTGGTGGTAAAGCAGGTGGAGGTGTGGCTGGTGCTGGTGGTAAAGCAGGTGGAGGTGTGGCCGGTGGTGGAGGCAGTGGTGGTGGTTGTACTGGAGTTGCGATTGGAGGACTTTGCGGGGGTAGTGGTGGTGGAACTGATGGGGTTGTAGCTGGTGCAACTTTAGGAGATGGTGGTGATATAGGAGTTGCTGCAGTTACTGGTGGCTGTGTTGGTGCTGTTGGTTTTGTAGTAGGCGGAGGTGCAGTTGAAGGTGGAGGGGCAGTTGTAGTAGGCGGAGGAGCAGTAGTGGATGGTGGAGGTGTAGTGGTTGGCAAAGTAGGAGAGGCTGCTGGTGTTTGTGCATTGGTAGTGGCTATTGAAAAGCCGAGGCAAATTAGAATTAGAGCACAAAACATTGAAGCCATTTTGTTGAGATGGCAATTGTAGGGAAGATTGAGTTATTATATACACATATATGAAGGGAAAGGATTATTAGGAGTAAAGAATGTTTGGTGAAATGTTGGAGGGATGTAAACTTCATGAGAGATTGAGAATAATACATCTCTTCTAATGATTGGCGACTTGCAAGTGATATTGTTAAACTTAGCTCTCCTTAGTGGGGCCTTCAGGATTGAATCGCCTCGTCCAGTCTTAACCTCGTAATGAGGCCTCGAAGCTTGGAAATCTTGCTGAAAGTGAGGACTGAGGAGGTATTACTAGTTGCAAATTTTCCTTGATCGGTATGTCATTATAATTATATTGCTATAGTTATTATTTGGTAATAACTTAATTTGCAGAGATGTCTAAGACCACCGGTTTTTTGTTCAGCTAAGAAGCCTCAAGTGAGAGGGCATTATTGAATTTAGTCATCTGGAAACTTATGGTAGGTTTTTATTGTAAAGTAGCTTAAACCGAATTTACTTTTCAATCTTGCTTATGTGTTCCTATAATTCACTTGAATCTGCTATTATATCTTTAGCAAGCAGTTCTCATTAACAATGAAGGTGTGATGGCGCATGATAAATACGTGATCCATGGTGTAGAAAAGAAGCTAAGCAAAATGAGAGAGTTGGGGTGCAGATGGCGTGCTAGCAACCCACCAACCAATTGACTAAGATGTTGATCCTAACACAACCTCAACATCGGTAAGAAGTTCCCATCAAACTTTAAGATGAAAACCAAATTCAAAAACTCTTCTGATTTCTCTTCGCTTTTACTCATCTCTTCCCATTCCATAACAAGAAAGCAAAATCAAACTTAACTGCATTATGCGACATTGAAGTAATTTGTTCGTAAATGCATCATTATGCAACCTTCCGTTGGACATGTTTCTTTGATTACCACATAAATCAGAAATTAAGAGGGTGTTGGGAAAAGGTTATTGCACCGCTAAAGTAAGAGTAAACAAATTTCTCCCACCCAAGGTTTGCCTTAATGACACTCTTTCATCCAAAAAGTTTCAAAATATCACATTCTGTTAATAATAATGCTACAAACATTGGGACGATGCACCGGATTTTTACACCGAACTACATGTCACGTAACTCAGACCAACCACGTATTCTGTTAACAAATATTTTGCGAGTGAACGGCCGTTCATCAATTATGGACAATCGGTCACTGTTATTGGACGGGAGTCCATTATATGTGGATGAATGATGGACTCCCATCCATATTATATGGACAGGAATCCATTTACTATAGACGGGGGTCCACATATAATGGACGTCTATCCATGCTTTAAAAAAAATGGAATTGTATATAAAAATCTTTTCTATGAATTCATTTGTCACTCCTCTGGGAAGGTTGACAAGCTTGAGAGTTCTCAGTTTGGTGTCTTGGGGAATTTGGGGTCCACTTCTGGACAAAATTCATCGACTTTTTGCACTTGAATACTTGGACTTGGGTTCCAATTATCTCTTTGGTTCAGTTCCTCCTAAAATCTCTGCAATGGTGAAGCTTCAAACTCTTAAGTTGGATTACAATTTCTTCAATTATACAATCCCCAATTGGTTTGATTCTTTCTCTAATCTGACATTTCTAAGCTTGAGAAATAACAGATTAAAGGGTCCATTTCGATCTTCAATAAGGCATATCACCACTCTCACTGATCTTGTTTTATCTGTGAATGAAATATCTGGGAGATTACTGGATGTCAGTGGCCTAAGCAGCTTAAATGTGCTGGACTTGAGTGCAAACAAATCAGATTCTGATCTACCTGCGTTGCCAAGAGGACTGGTCATGGCCTTTCCCAATAACAACTCCTTCTCAAGTGAGATTACAAAGCAATATAGCAAGCTAAACCAAATACAACACCTAGACTTGTCATCCAATCTACTGGAAGGAATGCTTCCAGGTCTACTTTTTTCATTGCCAAACATCAGTTACTTGAATTTGGCATCAAACATGCTGAGTGAGGAACGCCCGTCCACTGAATAATGGACGAGCATCCATAATTTTTTTTTTTAATTTTTTTCTTTAAATTTACAGTATGGACGGGTGTCCATTATATGTGGACGCTCGTCCACAGTAAATGGACTCCCATCCATATAATATGAACGAGAGTCCATCATTCATTTCGCATGGACGAGCGTCCACATATAATGGACTTCCATCCAATAACAGTGAACGACCATCTATAGTTGATAAACGGTCATTCACTTGCAAAATATTTGTTAACTGGATGCGTGGTTGGTTTGAGTCATGTGACATGTAATTTGGTGTAAAATTCGGTGCACAGTCCCGGTGTCCGTAGTATTATTGTTTTGTTAATACCCAAAATATATTTCACTTTTTCAATTCGCATTCAACAAGTTACCAGGAGCCAAGGTAAGAGAAGTTTTGTAGATTGGAGGTCAATCGAATGGTGGTGACTGGTTGAATATTTGTCGTCGGAATCAGTTGAAAATCAATTAAAAACATAAAACCTTAGTTTTGTAATAGTCGAAAATCGGCGAGAAATCACGTGTCAGTGAGGGGTTTTGTAAAGATAAGATCGGAGGTTTAAATGGTGGTGACAAAGAGAATTTTCGCTATAGGAATTAACTTTGGATAGTAAAAGAATATTAACTTTTGGCGGAAAAGTGTCACTAAGGGTAGGAAAAAGTCGTTCACTCCTAAAGAAATCATTCAAATTGGTCATTTCTTGGATTTTTAATATTGAATTCAAATTAATTTAATACTAAATACATTTCTCATTTCGTTTATTGGGTCTTGGCTTTTCAATTTCTTCTTTTTCAGCGATTTTGTGTTACGTTAATGTGCATATGTACGGTAATGGTATCATACATTATTGTCAAAATATAATGAATTTACTACCAAATAAAAGTTGGCGTTCCTAATATTCGTATTGATAATCAAAAGTTTTTGGGCTTGCTGCAGCCGAAGAATTGATATAAACAGGTTAATGGATTCCAAATCCCCAGATGATAATATTGTAATTTGTGAAGTGACAATATCAAATTATCATCCCTAAAATGGCCGTTGATTATAGTAGGAACCAAGAAATCATGTTGCATATAGACCTTATTATTCAATGATTCCAACATCAACATGAATTCATATGACAATTTGCAGTCTATGGAAGGACATCAACACAATTTCGTTTGAAAGAAACTATATATCATACAGTTTATCGTGAATGAAAGAGTGATATTCTACTTTTACAAACAGAACATCAAGTTGAACATATGCTGCATCTTAGTGAGGATTTTTGTTGGTTGGCTGGCGATGGGAAGACACGAGGGGGGAGGTAGAGTCTCTGGATTCTTCTCTTTCTTCCTTCTTCTAAGTTGGAAGAATTGCTGCATTATCTCTGCACAATCTGATGCCAGTACCCCTCTTCGAATCGTCATTTTTGGATGGAACGGATGGACCGGAGCAGCTGGCTTGTCTGATGGTTCAGACCCATCTCCCCCATTAGGAAAAAGCCTGCAAATTATGTGTCAAATTTCAGGGTTCATGAAACTCAGGAAATCACTTGTTTAAACCCTATGCTACAGACGTTCATACATAAATTATATCCCCTATTTATCCAAAACTGTATTCTCCACGTTATTTTACCACATGATCTGGATTTGTACCAACAACCACAGTTACTCATGCTATTTTCTAGCTTTATGGCACCATCAGGTGGCTCGTTCTACACCCGCTTCTAACCAGAAAAGGTGAAATCCATATTATACCAATACTGTTTCCTGTATATTTGACCAGATTAACTGACCGGAATAAACAAGTTCACTAATAGAGGCAAAAATAAATAAACCATTGTTATGAAGTTAAAGATCAATGTCTGACCAGATCAATTGAGATGTTAATTGAAAACATTCAAACGAAATGGACTGATCCTAGTCTTACACCACAGATGAACATTGGTAGAATAGCAATGACTAATTTCAGTAAGGCTATGAGAATAGAACAACAGAAAGATATAAATAGCGTACCTAACCCAGCTGCCATCAGCTCCCAGAAGCTTATTTGGAGCTCCCCATACAAGAGTGCTGATTCTGGCTTGAAGTATTGCTCCAGCACACATGGCACATGGTTCAAGAGTTACATAAAGGGTAGTCTCCTGAAGGAGAAAAAATTAAGTTAGTTTTCCACATTTTCTACATTCTGCACAATCTGATGCCATTCAAGCATTTAAATGCCAATAGAACTTGTTTTTACCGCAAGCCTCCACGTCTGCAGTACATTTGAAGCCTCCCGAATACAAATCATTTCTGCATGGGCAGTGGAGTCCCTTAACTCCTCAACTCTGAAATATGCATTTCCAAGTCAAAATCTCAAAAAGAAAGCAAGCATCCAATCAAACAGCAAACATTTTTTCTTAGAAAACTTACAGGTTGCATCCACGTGCAATAATCTTCCCATGTTGAACCAGTACTGCCCCAACAGGCACCTCCCAAGTATCAGCAGCCTTTTTGGCTTCTAACAGCGCTTCCCTCATAAACATTTCATCAATATTTCGCTGGTCAGTTTCAAGCTTATAAGCTTCTTCCCATTCATCAAATCTATCTTTCAACACCTGCTTGTTTCGTTGCAGCTTCCTTTGTTTCAATTCCCCACCTTTCCCTGGAGACCCTGATACTTCAGTTAACCTTGCACTAAAAGGTTGTGCCAGCTGTACCATGGAGCTACTTCTAGTCTCATCAATTTTGCCGGTTTCAGAAATTTCTTCCACAATGGGAGACCTTCTTGTGCTTTTAGCAGATAAACATGATAATGATGGCTCCACTTCCACGCCAGAAGGGATTCCTTGAACAGCGTTAGCGTTCCCATCTCCTTTCTGGACAAGATGTTCCTCTTCAAAAGCTGATGAACTACCTCTTGATGAGGACCCAACTTCTATTGTACTTGAAGAAGATGCCATTACTGCTTCACGATGCCTTTCTTTGTTCTTTGATCCCATTGCGTCGGAAGTTTCTCCTTGAGTTTGAGTAAAAGTTTTCCCAAGCTGCAACTGATAAGAAGGTGCGGCTTCTTGTGGCATGCTACTTCTTTCCCTTTTCACATTCTCGTCACTGTGTTTATCAGATTCACGTCCAGAAAACCATGTCTCACTGCCAACAGACTCATTAGATGGACTCTTTTCATCTGACCTTGCAGCAGCAATAGGAGTTTCAACTTGTGAACCCCACCGCAGTCGGACTATGTCTCCCATGATATTCCAGAAGGACCTGCCCCTTCTCTTCACAACAGCATTCCCGGCTGTTTTACTGCCCTCTGGTGCTCCTGACTGAAGATGTTGAACAGATGGGTCAGTCACATCCCACATCTCATCAGAAGGCCCCTTTGCTCCAGATCCCTCAGATGATTGCCTTGGTTCACGACCCTTCAACTGAAAGTCCTCAGAGCCATATTGTCCTGAATTCTTTTTCCACTGCTTGTCAGCTTCAGACACCACCTTTGACACAGCAGTGTTCTTATCCGTTTGGATTTCAGAAGTTGAGACTTCATGCCTTGCCTTTTCAACAAACTCCCCAACAAACTGCATGGAAGATTCCTCTAACCGATGCACGGAACCCAGAGCATCTTCATGGGTGGTGAAGTTTAAAGGCTCTTCGTAAGTCTCCTCCTGTCTACCTATGACATATGATTCATCACACAATGATGAAGTTTTGCCTTCTGAATGTGTATACAAGGCACTAAGGCCACTTTCTGAAGATTTGCCAGAAACCTCATCAAATGCAACCCCACTAGTTGGATCAACATACAATGAACCTCTAGCTACCAATTGAGATGAGGGAGGGATCGATATCACCTGGGAGTTTCTCTCCACCTCCTCCAGCCCCTCCTCCACATCAAACTGTTGTACTCTAGTTTGAGAAACCAAATCCAAAGATGCTCGTGAACTAGAATTCTCTTCCAAGGAATATTCATGAGAACTTCGCAGTCCAGTAGGCTTTTGCGCCTCTTTCCTTGTTTTTGTTTGCACGGCCCCTTCATCTTTCTGATTATGTCGCTCTCTTGTTTCCCTGGTTGGTTTCACCACTGATGTTAAAAAAATTTCTTGGTTAACAACCCTTCTTTCAGAATTTTTTTGAGATTCAGTATATGTTTTCATGTCACTAGCATGAACCACTGATACACTGGTGACTTCTTTGGATCCTTTTATGGATTGAGTTCTCTGATGATGTTCATGATCAGTCAAGGAGCGTTGGTCTTTTTTTTCTGGATGTGAAATGGAAACCAACCTTGAATTTTCTTCCTGGTTCTTTGACCTAGCTTCAGATTGTATAATGGAGGTCTTTGTACGATTAGTGTCATGCGTTTCTGATATTCTAGAAAAGTTTTCAGCCTTTCTTCTCAAGTTATTTTGTCCAGTGATCTTTTCACTACTTTGTTGGTATTGTTCTTTTCTTCCCTGAACCGAGCTCTGAACCAAAGTTGTATCTTCTTTCCGGATATTCATTCTAGACTCAGAATGGCTCTGCAAATTAGAAATTTTTTCAGTATCAACATCTAGAGTTTCAGGCGTTTTGGTTAGTTGCTGAGAGTCTCTACTTATTTTACTATGAATAAGGCCAACTGCCTGGTGATATTCTCCGCTTGTCAGTTTTTCTTCTCTGCCACTAAATCGCTTTTGAGATTGGGACGTCATTTCAACATCACTTGCATTAATCTTTTTTGTTTCTCTAACTTCTTGCCATTTGTTTCTCGATTCAGGCTGCTCTGTGTCTTGAGTACCCATTTGGTCATACAGCTTTCTTGTTCCCTTGTCCACATTAACAGCCAAAGTTAATTTCTCGTCCACATCATCAAACTGCTTACAAGAAGTAGATGCCTTTCCATACTCAGTTTCACGTCTTCTATCCATTTTTAAATGAATTTGTGAGGATTCCTTTTTGGATTGTGTTTCCTCAACTGATACTTCAGTAAGCTTCTTCTCTGACTTCTTTCTGCAATCCCATTCCACACAACTCCCAGCTGCAGTATATCTCCATTCTGGAACTTTATCATGCCCCACTTCATCACTGCTATGCCTATTAAACTCTTCCACCACTTGTGCCTTAGATCTTTCTTCTTCACTCCTACTAGAATCCTTGCTAAGCCCACTAAATGATTCTTCCATATATTGCCCTTCCTTATCCTGAACTTCCTCATCACTCCCATACTCCCCAGAAGACGAAAACGAGTAATAAGAAGAACAACTTGAACTCTTGTTCCTTCCACTACGGTTCTCTTCTCTTGTAATAGCTTCCCTCTCTTTGCTCACCCTATACTCTTCCTCCCTCAACTCAATTGCGGTAGACTCAAATTCACACTTCTTATAGTTGTCACCCTTCAACAAATTCAAACCAACATTTTTCTTTCTCCTTCGAGAACACTCACCGCCATAACTTCCTCTCTTCTCTACTTCCACTCTATTCTTCTTTCCCCGATAAAATTCACTGCCATAATCTTCACCTTTCTCCGTTTCCACTCTCTTAACTATCCTCTCATTTCTCTCTCTACCACCTAGATGCTCTTCACTAACTTCCTCACTCAATAAATTAATAATTGCCTCAGCATCATCAACCTCACCTAACCGATACCTTCGGCTCCTTTCTTCCGAAACCATACACCTAAATCTCCCCTTCCTTCTCCTATCAAAACTACTTCCACTGCCATTTCTTTCTTTAATTGAGCAAGAAACCTCATAATTACATCCATTATATACCGGAACCCGATAGAATAATCGGTCTCCACTACCCAAAATCAATCTTCTTGAAGGTAAGCATTGAATAAGAGTGGACTGTCTTAACCCATACAAAAAGCCAGGGCTTGTGGGCACTCTATTACCATGTGAAGCAAATGCACAACAACAACAAGAACAACAACAACATGAACATGATGAAGCCAATGAGTTTCTATCAAATCTTTCATTTAACAAACTAGAGTAGTCATTGAATGAAAACGAAAGCGACCCTTTACTTTTAAGTGACAGTAAAGTGGAGCTAAAATAAGCGTTGTGCATTTTGAAAGAGAGAATCTTACCTTGAATTCAGAAATGGGCTTTATCGGGGTTTTGGAGCTGAAACAGAAAGTGAAACCATTGTGGATCGATCTGTGCAAATCGGATTTGACGATCAGCTGAAAAAAAAGTAAAGTACGTTTTCGAAAAAGATATGTCAATCAATAATGACTGGACAAAATTGTGAGTGAGTAGCGAAGAATCGTTGAGTTGACTCGGTTGGGTTTTTTCATTCCACCACTATGGGCTGTGGACTGTCTCCGTACGTTTAAAGCCCAAATTTACGGATGGGTTGGGCTATTATTTGGGCTTGGAAATTGAGTTGGGTCATAAAATCCCAGCTCAGTTTTGTTAAAGAATAAGTCTACGTTCTCTATAAAAATCAAAATAAGCTAATAAACCTTCTCACAAACATGACGTGATAACTTGTAACGGATCATGGAAAACCCATTATTGGATAGACATGACTGATTACAAGCTGCCCAATTACAAGCTATTCCATCACGTTTGTGAGAGAAAATTAGTGAGAAGGTTTTGTCAACGTAGTATTACCCTTCTCTATAAATACAAGTGAAGTCAGATATGTCTGTGTGAATGAGAACTGAGAAGATTATTTAATAAGTTATTCATGTAGATGCTAATAAAATAAAGGAGAAAAGACTTTGGTTGTAAGTAGTCTACGTTCTCTAGAATTGAAGACGAAAGGCTGTGTAAATACTTTTCTAGGTAACCAACTTGTGGTTGTGGCTGGCTGCTACAATCAAATGGGTATGGTGCATTGACTAATCAAACTACATTCCAAAAATTAGTGTGTTAGATGAGCAAGTGGCGTGCTGATGAGACTTCAATCCTTGTGCTTGCTGCAGCTGGGTCAAGTCAAGTCTTTTTGTTGACTTAAAATAAATAAATAAATCTGATCACTAATGTCTATATCTTAAATACATATAAACGGGCAGGGCTGAAATTTCTGTTAGGATGTACTAAAATAAAAATTAATTATATATTAATATTTTTATTTATTAATATTTTTGTTAAAATGAGTTAAATTCTAGAAAATTGTATATATTAATATTTTTTTTTTTTTAATTTGAGGGTGGGTCATGCTAGTAATATACACATAATAAACTAAATTAATGTTAAGAGCAAATGACTTTTTCCCACCCAAGGTTTGCCTTAATAACACTTTCCCACCCAAATAGTTTTAAAATACCACTTTTCACCAAATGTTTATATTTTGTTAATACCCAAAATACACTTTATTTTCTCAATCGGTATTCGATGAGTTACTAGGAGCTAAGGTAAGAGAGTTTTTGTAGAGTGGAGGCCAGTGGATTGAATGATGGTGACCGATTGAACATTCGCTGTCAAAATCTGCCAAAATTCAGCTTAAAACAATAAACTCTAACTTTGCAGTGGCCAACAATTGGCTAAAAATCAGGTGTCGATGTGAGACGAGTTTTCTAGAGAGAATACCAAATGTTCAAATGGTGGTGACGGAGAGAATTTTTACCACCAGAATCGGTCAAAATTAACTTTGGATAGTAACAGAATATTGACTTTGGGTGAAAAAATAGTATCTTGAAACCTTTTGGGTGAAAAGTCACTATGGCAAGGCAAACCTTGGGTGGGAAAGAAGTCGTTAACTCATCATTAATGTTACGTTGATTTCATCAAACCATTTTGACCCAATCAAACATAATTTTTTTTTTATTTTTTTTTTTGTATGATCAGGGTATTTGGGTCAGTTTACACATACTTCAACTATTTTCTCAAAACCTTAGAACCATCGGTCAAGTAAGAGTTTCAATGATCAACCCTATTAGCAACCATGGAGACTTGAACGAGAGATAATAGTAGATCTTTGATCCTTCTTCTTACTCTTTTACCCTCAAGGGAACTCGAACTTGAAAAATCATATTAGATCCTCCTCTTGGGATACTATCTTAGATTCTCCTTTTGCTCTTTTACTATCAAGGAAACTTAAACTTGGGAGATCATGTTATATCTTCTTTTGCTTTTTCACTATCAGACCATACAGTAAGTTACAACTTTCTTCTCATATTTATGTAAACATTTAGATTTAATATTTATGTAAGTCAAGGTGAGAACAAAAAAATGACCCCATTATAGGAAGATTCCTAAGGACTTTGGAAGAATTTTGTGGCATAGGAATAATTGAAGGCGGCAGTCCCAATCCAATGCAGCCGCCTCTTCAATTTCCATACACTATTATTATTGCATTATTTGAAGATGTTACGTTTAATTATTTTTGGAAAATGTATCTATGAATCAAAGTAAACGAATGGATGAAAAGTATGGGTCTTATTTATCCGGTGTAGACTTTGGAGCATCCAGTTGATGAAGACTTTTAAACCTGCAGTTTAGTCTTTGGCGGGTCAAAATATGATGATCTTGTTTGCTGACTTTTTACGCTCTTATTCCGCTAATTGTTGAATTCAGATTTACGCTCATTGAAAGTAAATTTCATTCCTATTGAGACATAATAATATTACTCAATGCTTCATTACTTGAAGCTGATTATTTATATAGGATGAATTGGTCATTATAATTGCTATAGGAATACATCGTCCCATACATAAGGATATACGTAACAATCATGTACATATATGATAATAAAGAGATACATGGCCTTTTCCGGCTAGATCCATGGTGGATCTGGCCGGAAAAGGCCAGATCTACGGTTTGTTTTGGCCGTCGACGGCGGAAAAGGCCAAACGACGGCCATTTCTGGTCGGAGTTTGGCCGTTGTACAGATTCCGGTTACACCGATGGTGGTTGCCGGAATCTGACAAGTGGGTTGATGGGGTGTTTTTTGTAATTTTTAAACTTTTTTTTCAGGGGGTAAGTGAAATTAATAACCTTATGGGGTTAAAATGTAATTAAAAAAATAGGGTAATATTTTGAGAATATTGTACCAACGCATTTGAAAAATAGGATCCAGAATAGGGATAAAAATATTAAACCAAACGCATACCAATGTTTGATTGACGCAATCAAACATATTATATATTATGTGTGGTGTGTGTGTGTGTGTGTGTGTGTGGGTGTGTGGGTGTGAGATCAGGGATGTCCAGTCAGTTTATGTAAACCTCAATTATTCTCCCAAACCCTTAGAACCATCAGTCGAATAAGAGTTTCAATAATCACCATATTAGAAACCATGGAGACTCGAACGAGAGATAATATTAGATCTTTTTTTTTTTTTTTTGTTCTTTTATCCCTTAGACTCGAACTTAAAAGACCATATTAATCTTCCTCTTGAGAGATTATGTTAGATTGTCATCTTACTCTTTTTCCTAGGAAAACTAAACTTGGGAGACTATATTATATGCTCTTTTGTTTTTTTACTATCAAGAAGATTATTTAATAAGTTATTCATGTAGATGCTAATAAAATAAAGGAGAAAAGACTTTGGTTGTAAGTAGTCTACGTTCTCTAGAACTGAAGAGGAAAGGTAGTGTAAATACTTTTCTAGGTAACCAACTTGTGGTTGTGGCTGGCTGCTACAATCAAATGGGTATGGTGCATTGACTAATCAAGCTACATTCCAAAAATTAGTGTGTTTAGATCAGTAAGTGGCGTGCTAATGAACTTCAGTCCTTATACTTGCTGCAGCTGGGTCAAGTCAAGTCTTTTTGTTGACTTAAAATAAATAAATAAATCTTCAAATTTTATCGGGTGCGTTTGGTTTATTATTTTTGATAGAATTTTGGGAATAATATTGGGTAATTAGATAGGGGAGTATTACGAGGGAAAATTTAAAAATCTCTAAAAAACCCCATAGGTTTGCTAATTTAATTAAACACCCCAATATATAAAATTTTTGTAAGATGACAAAAACACCCCCATCACCCACAGTGCCAGATTTCGGCCACCACTGTCGGAATCTGGTCAGAAAATTGTGTTACAACACAGATTGATCGGATTTGTGTCATAACGCGTCGATATGGCCTTTTCCGAACAGATCCACTGTGGATCTGGCCGAAAAAGGCCAGATCGGTGAATGACCGGCCAATTTCGGTCGAGGTTTAAGCCATTGTGACAGATTCCGACAACCATCGGCAAGTATGGGTGGGTGGGTGGGTGGGGTGTTTTTGCTAATTTTTAAACTTTTTTTGGGGGTGTTTAATGAAATTAATAAACTTAAGGGGTTTGAAATAATTAAAAAAATACAATAATATTTCTCAAATAATGTGCCAAACAATATTTGGGAGATAGGATTGGGAATATGGATAATAATATGGAACCAAACGCACCCATCATAGTTATTGGCGGAGTAACACCGTTGAATCTGATCACTAATGTCTATATATTAAATATATATATATATAAAAGGGTAGAACTAGAAATTTCTGTTATGATAGGCTAAAATAAAAACTAATTACATATTAATATTTTTGTCCATTAATATTTCTGTTAAGGTGAGCCAAAATCTAAAAATTGTACACATTAATATATATTTTTTAACCTGAGGGCGGGCCATTCTAGTAATATACACATAATAAACTATATTAATGTTAAGAGTAAACGACTTTTTCCCACCCAAGGTTTGCCTTAATCCCACTTTCTCACCCAAACAGTTTCAAAATACTACTTTGTCACCCAATGTTTATATTTTATTAATACCCAAAATACATTTTATTTTCTCAATCTACGTTTGGTGAGTTACCAAAAGTCAAGGTAAGAGGGTTTTTGTAGAGTGGATGCCAGTGGATTGAATAGTAGTAACCGATTGAATATTCACAGTCAAAATTAGCCGAAAATCAGTTAAGAAAATGAAACTCTAGCTTTGTAGTGGCCAGCAATTGGCTAGAAATCAGGTGCCAATGTGAGACGGGTTTTCTAGAGAGGAGACCAGAGGTTCAAATGGTGGTGACAGGGAGAATGTTCACCACCAGAATCGGCCAAAATCAACTTTAGGTAGTAACAGAATATTGATTTTGGGTGGAAAAGTAGTATCTTGAAACTTTTTGGGTGGAAAAATCATTAAGGCAAACCTTTTGTGGGAAAGAAGTCGTTTACTCATCATTAATGCTACTTGACTTCGGCAAACCATCAAGGGTGCGTTTGGTTTAGTATTTTGGATAG